ATAAATATATACTACAGTGTAACCCGGATATAAGAGAAACCCGGATATAAGAGCGATTTTCTCTGGTCCCAAATTGTTCCCATACTTACCTAAACAAAAAAGACCAAACCCGGATATAAGAGAAACCCGGATATAAGAGACTTCTTCTCCGGTCCCGACAACTCTCTTATATCCGGGTTACACTGTATTACCGAAAGAGGACAATAAAAGAACTAGAATTAAGAAGTCGTATATTACCTGTTGTAATTTTCTTTACTTTTTTGATCATATCACCCCATCCAAGGTAGTAAAGCCACTAAGACACAAAGGGCTTCTAGAATGTGAAAGAATAAGAAGAAAGAGAAATATTATTAGAGAGCGAGAACAATGGAAGAGTAATCAGGAAGACAGTAGATAACGAGTTACATTGCATTTAATTTTTGAAGATCAAAGTTGAGTGGAAAGCAAGCGAGAAGTGTGACGGTGGAAACAGTTAGAATAGAACTTGTGGTAACATATAGCCATTTCGACTGTAAAATAAAGAGACCTCGCCGCCAACTTAGTCCTGCGTTTATATTTATCAAGTCTAGGTACCATAGAGGAGAGTTCATCAGAACAATTGCGATGAAAGTATTTATAGAAAAAGCACAGAGAAGCTACATGACGGCGATGGGAAGGTGACTGAAGTCAAGATGCCAGGTTAGGAACAATAACGTTGCAGATTCTACTCTGGATTTTATCATGAGTCTCTAAATATATATTTTTTAAATGTGCAATTTTATATAAAGTGTCACTTTTAGTTTAATCTATATCTATAATTCTCAAAATATGTGTGTGTGTGTGTGATCGGATGTTGTTTGTGTGTTTCCACAGTTTTCATTTGAATCGATGAATTTTTTTTTTGTTTTTTTTTTTTTTTTTTGTTTTTCCTTGATAGATAATTCTTCAGTGCCGGTTTTGAGTCCAAATTGGCTTGAAAAAAATTACAACCTCGAAGGTGAAAAATTGAAAAAAATGATTTTTTTTACAATTTGCGTAAAAAATCAAAGGCAAAAATTTAAGGTCTGTAAAAAACAGCGTGCAGTGAATTTAGAGAGTTGAAATCTAACGCAAAAAATTATTGGAATTATAAAAAAAATTATATTATAAATAAAAAGTATCGTATATTATTATTATGACTCTCCATGAAAGAGGTTCCTTTCTTGAAAGATTGAGAAGGCAAAAACGGGCCGTTCTCAGGACAATTCCACCATCCAAATTGCCCCCCGCTCCACCCTATTTGGGGATATGCCTCGTTTGCACCCAATTGTTGTTACTAATATTGATATTCGGGTGGGCTGACTTTAAACTTAAACTGCTCCAACTGACCGGCAAAAATTCCAAGTAATGAAAGACCCAGTCGAAGACGAGTTATACTGGTTGTTCTAAATGGCATTGTTTTTTTTTGGTGGGGGGGTTACCCCCACATAGCTTCGCCAGTTTCGCCATGATTTTGTTACAGGGTGCTGATAAGCAGTCATAAAAACGGGGCATTTCCTGCCGCCCCCAGCTCATTCTCTCACTTTCTCTCTCTCTCTCCACCCTCTCTTCCTCTTTATCTCTCTCTCTTTCTCTCTCTCTCTCTCTCTCTCTCTCTCTCTCTCTCTCTTCGCCTAGTATGAATAGTGACGATAACCACGGGATCTTGTTCTTGAAAATGGGGATATTTTTCTCCTCAATGTGTCTGAAATTTATTCACACACACACACACACACACACACACACACAAACACACACAAGCACACAAACACACACACACAAACACACACACACTTGTATCACATAATTCTTAACATAATGTCTTGGACATAATGAGGAAGGGGGATTGGAAAACTTAATCCTCACAGGGCATATCGAGTACACAAGAGACAAGGGAAGGAATTCATGAGGTCACCTTCCTAACGGTGTTTCGCAAAGGGCTAAAAAAAAAATGGTTTAATGATACAAGTCTTACTAATTAACCCATAGCTGGGGGAGAAGATATGAAATCATACTTTTCTCAGGGATATTTGCGCGTAAGCAAAAGTAGCGAAACCAACTGGAATTGGATCTTGGTTCTCCTCAAGAACACAATGGTCGTTCACATTCTGCAAAACTAGCCGTTGTCTACTTTCGAAAAAACATTCCAAGATACCATATTAAATAGAATGACCCCTTTAAATAGTGATTCAAATTTATGGCTCATCTTTAAAAGAGATCTGTAAGAGAATGGAAAATAATATGAAAGGAGTAAAGATCCTTGAAAAACTGCTTCAAGTAACGTTAAAGTTGGGAGTGATGGTGATTTTAACTGAGACTAGCTCTTTAGATATCATCCAATTACATTGAAATGTTATTTCCAAAGTTAAGCTTAATTTTGACACAAAGCTAGAAGCGTAGGTCGTCCAGTGAGGATCGAACCAAACAAACTGGGAGTATATTTTTTACTAATATTAAAAAACAAAAATACAAGAACATCACTTACTTTCGTTTAGTATTAGATACTGAATTATGTCACTTCATGTCCTCCATAGATTGCCTGACATTTCGAACAATCTGACGAATATTTATGAGCGTTCTTAAATTTAAAAATTCTAAAAAAAAAAAAAAAAAAAAATATCATTTTTTCTCTTGTATATAAATACTTGTTACAAAATAAAATTCTTGCATTTGCCTTGATGAAGTCCGTCAGAAGACGAAACGCGTCGACTCGGATAGGTTTTCCTTTTGTCTTTATTCACTAATACAAAGCTCAAGATCCTCTTAAGGTAAAGGATTACTAGATGAGATGTGGGTTAAGAGGAGAAAGTAGGAAGTTATCAGTTATCTCCTGCTAAGGACACATGGCACAGTGGATAAAGGCGTTGGTTAGATCCAGTGATAGGACCGAAAGAGTGTGAGTTCAATACCCGGTTAAGGCAGTGGAGAACTTTCAGAGGGGAATTAGCAGGAGATAACTGACATCCATCAAACATGGCACGTGGAACTAGAACAGTCTACCCCAGTGAGCGAAATAAAGGGTTCAGTTCGACATTCCAACCACCTGAAGAAGGCCGGAGCGTACAACGGCCGAAACGTTGTGATAAATATGGCGACAAAGATGAGGACAATAGTCCGAATAATGTAAATCATAAAAAAAAGGAGGAGTCGGGTACTTTAGCGAAAAGCTGCAAGAAGCCGACCATTTTCCCCCAGCATTTTTATCAATAGATTGTATATGTAATTTCCGCTTGAGGTCTGGAGAGAATATGAAATTCAACCTCGGAGCCTCGTTGGCTATGTAACCGTGAAAATGGCTACTGATGAATGAAGTGTGTCAAATGAATGAAACAGCAGATAGTAGAATGCGAGGATAAGGAGGATCGATAACGACTGACCCTTGACTTAAAGATGTTAAAATTCTAGTGTTCAGGGTAGGAATCTGTTTTACAGAGTTGCAGTTCTTGGAGAAAAGCTGAGTGGAATTTCCTTCATAGGAAAAGAATGTATGCATGTATAGCTGACCATTCGTATTCGAGGATATCCGTCTACTAGGTCAGCTAGCCAATCCCCGTTGCAGACGCTTGCTCAGGCACATTTGTCTTTATTCAACACCCACAGGGCCCACCTGTGGTTTATACTGCAACTATGCTGAGCAGACCTTAGTTACAGTTTCTGGAAAGAGCGTATTATATAGCGTGATCAACAATTTGAACAAGGCCAGCACGCTCAATCCCTCGGCCACGTTGACTTGTGACTTCGTGCTAGCACAACTATCGACGTCCCCCAAGGGTTCCGTCTACCCAATTTCACTCACAAGGCTTGGGTCAACTCGTGGTATGCTTTTCAGGCACTTTCATAAGGTGCCGCACGCTGAGATCGACCTCTCCTGTCCGATGACATCAGGAAGTCTCCTTCCTGACAAATCGACCATGGTGAGAATCGAACCCGGGTCTCATGATCAGAATGCGAATGTTCTAACCACTCGGTCGCTCATAGGAAAGGAATACGGTAGACTCCAATTTGCGTAGAAGGGCAAGGTCGAGCTGTGAAGCTCTGAAATGGTGGAGTGGAATTGGTTGGGTCAAGTGATCGGGGAAGCATCCTCTTGGGAGTCGGTTCCACAAAGCAACGATTCGTGGGAAGAAGCTGCTCAAGTGGAATACGAAGGAAATGGCTGTCATTTTTTTTTAAGCGTTTCTTACTTTTATCACAGAGAAACGAGCTTGGGGCACCCAGTGCGAACCCCAGTCCCCCTCAGGATTAACAGTCAACTAGACTTATCCCAATAATTATTGCCTAACACTGATTGAACCCATTACGTTATATTGTTTTTAAGCTTTTCTTAATTTTGTCACGAAGCAAAATCTATGGGGCACACGGTGCGGAACGAACCCACTCTTCAAGGTTAATCGTCAACTAGACTTATCTGGCTAATCATTACCCTCCGTTAAGCTGCCCATTACGCTATTTGGTTTTTAAGCTTTCCCTTGTTTGGGCACAGAACAACAAGTATGGGGCACACGGTGCGGAACGAACCCACTCCTCAAGGTTAATGGTCAACTAGACATATCTCCCTAATCATTACCCAACCCTGAACCGCTCATTACGCTATGTTGTTTTTAAGCTTTTCTTAGTTCCGGCACAGTGCAACAAGTATGGGGCACGCAGTGCGGAACGAGCCCGCAACTCATGCACAGAAACCCCATTATCTAACCCAGTAAGCGGCAATCTCTTCATGGCAAAAGAAAAACGATTCTCTAATTATATTCCTAGCGACAATGACTGAAGCCGGTCGTACGTAATCGTTGAATTAAAAGCTTAGCGTAGAGCATTGTGTGTCTAATTGCCCAATACTACCACTGCACCATCCGTACCTTCTCTACCCCCACCGCAACATCCCTCACCCCAGTAGAGAGCCAATAAAATTGGTAGTGAGCTTATGTCGGGGAAATTATACGTAAATACTAAATGCTAAACAGGCTTTGACTCCGATTTACCTATTGACCTTGGAAGATGTTAATTCAGTATCGCTTCTTTTTTACTTTATTTAAGCCACTTTGGTGTGTAGGCGTCCCTGACTGCGATGTCAATGTGAACACTAGCAACATTTGCAACTGTGTAAGAAAGAAAGAAAGAAAGAAAGAAAGAAAGAAAGAAAATAGATATTTGGAAAGAAAGAAAGAAACAAAGAAACAAACAAACAATGCAGATATATGAAAAGAATGAAAAAGAAAGAAAACGAATATGTAGAAAGAAAGAAAGAAAGAAAGAAAGAAAGAAAGAAAGAAAGAAAGAAAGAAAGAAAAAAAGAAAGAAAGAATATTTACGTGGGGGGAAAAGAAAGAAAGAAAGAAAAGAACGTTTACGTGGGGGAAAAAGAAAGAAAGAAAGAAAGAAAGAAAAAAAAGAAAGAAAGAAAGAAAGAAAGAAAGAAAGAAAGCGTAAAAACGGATATGTGGAAAAAAGAAGGAAAACAGATATTTGGAAAGAAAGAAATAGGAAAGAAAGAAGAATTTGGAAAAGAAAAAGAAAGAAAGCTGAAGAATAAGGCAAAGAAAGAAAGATGAATTAGGAACAGAAAGAAAGAAAGAAAGAAAGAAAGAAAGAAAGAAAGAAAGAAAGAAAGAAAGAAAGAAAGAAAAAGAGTAAAAACGGATATGTGGGAAAAAAAGAAGGAAAACAGATATTTGGAAAGAAAGAAAGAAAAAAGAAAGAAAGAAGAATTTGGAAAAGAAAAAGAAAGAAAGCTGAAGAATAAGGCAAAGAAAGAAAGATGAATTAGGAACAGAAAGAAAGAAAGAAAGAAAGAAAGAAAGAAAGAAAGAAAGAAAGAAAGAAAGAAAGAAAGAAGAAAAAGAAAGAAAGAAGAAAAAGAAAGAAAGAAAGCTGTTTGGAAAGAAAAGCTAGAAAGCGCACTTGACCCAACCAATCGAAACCAAGAAAAAGAAAAGATTAAAAGATAACAAAAGAATAAATATAATTTCATTTCTACTGAGTCGAAATCAATTCGTGTCTCTTTTTCTGAGATGTAAAGATAAATGAACACCCAGTAGCTTCCTGTATACAAAAAAAAATCAAAAAAGATCAAAGCTAGTCAAAGTCCTTTCACGGTAGGCACGTGAACTTACGTGACTTTTTAAAAATTCACGTGACCTCGGGGTTGGGGTGGGGGTGGTTGTTCGGTATGCAATTGCAACTGAGAGCAAATTCTCTCTAATTTTAAATGCTGGAAAAAGAGATCCAATACAAATCTCACGAAAAACAATCGCGGCTCCAAAAAAATTTGACATAACAAACATACTTATTCCCAGTATATATTTTTTTATTTCATTTGGCCTTCTGTTGTATGAAGCTAAGCTGATTTTTTGTTTTGTTTTTTATTACAGTGAGTTCATTCTGTACAAGGCCCGAGAGCCCCCGAAGGCAGAGAGTTACAGAGCAAGAGGAACAGTTTATGCTGATATGTGGAGAAGATAACAGTTAACCTTAGATTTGAACAGGCTAAGATTGTAGCGATTGGGAAAGCATCCTCTTGGGAATCGGTTTTACAGAGCAGTTGTTCGTGAGAAAAAGTTGGTCAAGCAGAACTTACTTCTTACTAATGGAATACGAAGGGAATGAAAGTGGTTCACTACGATGCGTGCAACATGGCGGGTCCTAGCCACAAAGGTTAGAACTGATGGAATGAAGGAATGTACATCATCTAAGGACTTTTCATGGAAATAGCAATAGAGCCGCAAGAGGCATACGTTTCATCTGTAAGGTTGTAAAGTGGAAAATAATTTGTCCACTACAAGGATACTAAGAGTCTTTTGGACTATATCAAGACTGGAAAATGAAGACTCAGCAGCTCCTGTCCAAATATGGCATCAGGACTTCATTTGTGGCCTGATCTGGTAGAGGATAGCACAAGGAGCCAGGTACTTCCTTGAGTGGTACAGGGAGCCAACCATTTTTCAAGAATCTTAGTGATGGATTGTACGTCTGAATTCCACTTGAGATCTGGATTGAGTTTAAAGCTTAATAGTCACTCAATCACAGGTCCTCCCTGAGGGAACATCTATTCATCATGATTGGGTAAATAGCAGAAGAGACTGGGTTCTATAGCCTTGGATGGCAACTGGTCTAGGAGAAGGACAACTCTGAATTCAAAACCTGCGGAGGGTCGTTTGGGGACCTTGTGGCACGTAGTGCACCAGATCTCTGTAATCGGCCCTTCAAAAAGTGTGGATGGTTCTGCACAAAACCTTCACCACTATAATCAAATCTCATGTGCTATACATGCGGGTTGGGGACCGCTTGGGAATTCTATATTCCCATGAAACTTTTTTTTTATAAATTTTGGAGCCGGCTCAACCCACCTCAGGTGAATGCCGTTACAGGTATAGGTAGGTATTGGGGGTCAGGGCCTGATTGGCAGTGATGGAATTTAACTAGTTTGGTTTTTTAGCAAATATCTATTACTGATAAATACTAATTTCCTTGAGAGACAAGACTTTACTTCACTTGGTAGATTGACGCTGCACAATCTTCTTATGTCCGTTTCAAACAGTTGGTCTTGTTTCCATGTATGAAAATAAACTGCATCTGGCAGCAATGGTCTCCGATTGAAAGATTGGAGGTTTTGAGGAATATGGAACCACCTCTTCATTGCTGTTCTTCCCAGGTCCACCCTGACCTGAGGTGGTAGCACCTGTTAGGGTCTCAGGTATGGGCAAATCATGAGCACCCACCCGGCAAAAAAATCAAAACACTATGAAAGTATAAAAATACATTTTTATAGTAAAATTCCCAACAATACATCAATCAACATAAAAGAAATCTTTCATGACATTAATCTATATAATATCCGACTATTTCTTAAAGAAATCAAATGGTATTCCAGAATATAACTTCAACAGAACTAAAATATAAAACATGCATATCACCACCTCTAGTAATTACATCCATACAAACATGTGTATGTACAAAATCTGAGTATCATCTACCATGTATTCAATTGTGAAAGCAGAATAACCTGTATCATATTTTTATTACTTCAAAGCTCCCAAGAAAATAAAGTTTCAACATTAAATGACCCATAAGGAGTTGATATGCTGTTAAACAAGCAAATCAAATCAAATCACAAAAGCTGAGTATCATCTACCATGTATTCAATTGTGAAAGCAGAATAACCTGTATCATATTTTTATTACTTCAAAGCTCCCAAGAAAATAAAGTTTCAATATTAAATGACCCATAAGGAGTTGATATGCCATTAAGCAAACAAATCAATCAATCAATCTTGTTTCCATACTATGACGAAAGTGGCAACTATCAAAATGTCAGCAGTCTGAATGTCAAATCAGGTCATCTTTCCCCACATGAAAGATTACTGCTACATAATCTTTCCAAACAATTTATCCCAACTTGGCACTGTGTCAGACTTTGCCGAACTTAATTAGCATATTTACTACTACACAATGCACAAATGCATCTTCTGTCAGGATGCATATTGCCATGGAGAAGAAACAAAACCCGTGTTGACAACAACACAGATTATCATGATTATTTTTTATATTTCATATCATATTCTATATTTATTCATTTTATTAACGCCTGCAGTCTACAAGGGTGGCTAGCAAATTGTTGTTGTGTGTTCAACACCCACAGAGAAAACTGTAGTTTATACTGCCATTCTGCTGGGTTTAGTTAGAACATTGTGGCAGAGTTTAATATGGGATTTCCGGAAAGCCATACAAAAATTGCTCAAACCACCACTTCATGGGAATTTCACCTTTATGGTGCCACTTTAGGCCCAAGGTTATATACCCAGCCCCTTCCCAAAGGAGAAGTACTGTCCAGTGGGGAACAGCTTCCTGGGAGAGGGTAAATGATCTGCCCTGATTGGTGGTGGGGATTGGTGGTCTCATCAAAGCTTCGAGTCATAATGACTTTGGGATGTTGTGCTAGCAAAGTTCCAAACAGTTTCACCAACCCAATTTAACTCTAAAGGCTTGAGTCAGCCCATTTTATCATTTCAGGCTGAGATCATCTCACCATTGTCATATCATCAAAAAGTCATTTTGACAAATCGAACATGCTCAGATTTGAACCCTGGCCTAACGTTCAGAATGCTAATGATTTAACCACTCAGCTACATACAAACAGAATTTCTAATGGTAACATTACCAAAAAAAAAAAAAGATGGCATTATGTAAGGGTTCAAATATCCAAGATAGCAATTTCTAATGTTAACACTAAAACAGATATTATGTCATGGTTCAAATAGACAACATAGCAATTTCAAATGGAGATAATAAGAAAAACTCATAGATACTATTAGATAAAGTTTTAAATTTCTAATGTTAACACTAACTAGAACACATAGGTGGCATTATATAAGGTTTCAAATATCCAAGGTTGCAATTTTTAATCATGATACTAACAAATACATATAGATGACATTATATAAGTATATCTGAATTAGCAATTTCTTATGTTAATTCTAATATAAGTTAGATGTAAGCTTTGCAATATGCAAGGTAGCTATTTCTAATTGTAACCCTAACAAAAACCTAGTTAGTGTTATATAAGATTTAAAATATCCAAATAAGGAAAATGTAAATTGTTAGTCAGAATTAGGAAGTGCCAGCTGAAATTTCTTGGATACGTAATGAGGAAAGAGGGTTTAGTGTGTTTGATGCTCATAGGTCATACTGAGTGGAAAAGGTACAGGGGAAGTCAGTAAGCCAACTGCTTTTTGATCTTGTATGAATGAATATCAGAACATGGCTGCTGGGTGTCTGGTAATGAGAAAAATGTTGCTTAGGCCTAAAATGGATAGGAGGTTGTGGAGGGCCATGAAAGAACATGGCTTATAGAGGAAGTCTTTTATAGTAATCTATAAAGGTGAATAAAAAAAATGGATGGCATTATGTAAGATTTCATATATCCAAGGTAGCTGTGAAGGTGTTAATATATTTTATTTTATTTACAAAAATAAAATGTAAGTTGTCTTAACATTTTTAATGGTAACTCTGACAAAATTATAAATACTATTTTTGTCGAGTAGCTAGCACTCCTTCAGCACTCTACAAGATGGCCTGGCTCATAGCCTTAAATAGTCTATTATTAAGGACTTCAACAGTTGATTAATAAGTTGATACTAAGCTGATTAATATTTGAACTGATCTTACTTCATTTGGCTATGCAGCATTTGACCCTCATCTATTCCTTGTAAGTTGTCTTGTTAATTGTTTTGTAACTTATTGTTCTGTGTTTTTTGTATGTATCCGTAAGTTGCTGAATTAAGCACTCATTCTTCTCTGTTTATCATTCACCTCGACAATACAACAGCTACGAAATGTGGTTTCTGGTAACCAATATAGCAATGAATTTGTTAATAAATTTAATTTGAGTTTGGGTTGAGCTTAAAGCCTACTAGGCGCTCAAAGTTGAGGGCCTTGACTTATATAGAAATTTCTAATGGTAACTTCAATAATATTATTAATGGCATGGCATATGGTTTCCAATAATCATTGTAGCAAAAAATTTGCCAATAAACCTAATTTTATTGATCAACTTAAAGCATTTTGATAGCTATTTCTAATGATTGATTGATTCATTCATTTATCAACACTTTGCAGGTTATTTAAAAAAAAGTATTTTGTAAGAATGTTTTATAGAAATAATGTTTTAGTGATAAAAGTCTTACTAATTAACCCATAGGTGGGGAGAGAAGAACTACCTTTCCCAAGGGTATTTGCACGTATGTGAATATAATGAACACAACTGGAATTTGAACTCAGTTCTCTGATTAACAATTCTGAGTCATTATTCATTACACCACCTGCACATCCAAGCATACAGCAGCTGGTTTTTCACAAAGGGTCACCCAGCTATATACTGATCAGTGTCAGCATTGCTTAATTTTAATGACCATACAGGAACTGGTGTTTCAACATGATGTGGCTGTAAACCAAATTCTAGTGGTAATTATGACAAAATTCTAATTGGTTTTAAGGGTCCAAATATCCAATATAAACATGAAAGTATTAATAAATATAATTTTATTTACCAAAATATAATTTTATTTACCAAAATATAATTTTATTTACTAAAATATTTAAAAATTTTTTTATTTATTAAAATATAATTTTATTTACCAAAATATAATTTTATTTATTAAAATATAATTTTATTTATTAAAATACAATTTTATTTAGTAAAATGAAGTATAAGCAGTCTTTTGGTTTTGTCTTGTTTGGTTTGTTTTGGTTTATTTTGTTTTACAGCATATCAACACATC